CCCTTTTCACATGTGCCTACTTGAGTGTGTGCAAGGAACTCGCAGCCCTGGGACTATATTTGACTTGTCCCTGCCTGATTGGCCTCATTTCAAGTTGTTAGGAAATATTTCCTCACCCACCTTTAGGGGACTATCAAAATTGCCTTTTACCTTCATTAGGTTTGATGCCACAATGATGAGGGACAAGGTCTGGGACCTGACAATTTATTTCCATCCCATGCCCTGCTTCCTAGGTCACTATGGACAAGTGATAAGCTGCTCACACCAAAGATGTCTCCTATCTCATTGCATCCCTCATTGTATGCATTGGTTGTATCAAAAGCCTTATCTCCTGCAGTTCCTTATCTAGACATAAAATGTTAGAACTGCCCAATCTCTCTTTTCTGCCTCAGTTTCCTTCTTCATAAGTAGTTGTGAGAATAACCACACAGAAGACTATCTGCTGCTTTGGCTCCTACTTTTTCCTGTCAACACTGTGGTTCATGTGAAAGATCTCTTTCACACTGGCTGGTCTACTCTCCAGTGTCCAGATCCTCATATCCTGCAGTCTGTAAGCTAAGACCATCTTTCTTCTCTGGGGATCTGCCTAGATCATCTCTTTGTGTCTCTCCCATGCTTTGACCAAGATATTTTTTTTTCTAACATCTTGCTTTCTTTACCTAAACTGTCTGGAGCAGAGGAATGGGTATTCTTCACTTTTGTCAGTCAACTGAAAGACATAGGAGCCTTTATGTTCAAAAAAATAAAGTTGCAGATAGATATAGTGAATACGTTCATAGCAGTCAGTATAACCCAGAGACCTTGTATGCCCTTCTCATCAGGTTTTTTCCATTTTATCCCAGTCAATATATATTTTGATGGAGATGTTGACTATATAATTTATTAATGTCCCTGCATATTATAATGATGTAAGAGTTTCTGGCATACTAAGCCTTTGAGTACATAGATTGTGTAAATCTGATTTTTGTCAGCCATCCACATTCAGCCTTTGATAACAGTCAGGCCTCGCTGGCAAAAAGGTTGCACCAGACTCAGTATCAGCTTGGGCTATTTCACCATTTAAACCATTCCCACTGTGCTATTTACTGCACTCTGTTTTCCTAACCATTAACCTCAAGGTTTCAGTTTGCCAGAGGTAACTAAAACAGTTTGATTTGTTTTGTGATGACTTCTGCCAGAATTGTTTCACGTGAACAAACGATGAAAACATGTCATCGGCAGTCCAATTAAAATCATGCCTGTAGGGATACAACTTTAAAAGTGCCATGTAAATGAAATGGGACTCTGACAGCTGAAAGTTGTGCTGCTAGTGACCTTGTTACGGTGCAGCTTTGCTGATTCAGTTCTAAGCTGATGTTAATATGCAAGCAACAAGAGCAAGTGCCATGGACGTCAGCAGAGAAGATAATTTTTAATTCATAATGTGTAGCACGTGATTTTTGGTCTCCAGGATTTTCCCGCCCCCCCTCTTACATATCAGATAAACTATTCCAGTTTACCTGCAGCACAGCAGAGCAGATTTCATTGCATTGGGCAAAAAGAATATTAAGTACCTCCAGGTTGACTCTCTGTAGAAGCAAACTTCTTCATCTCTGTTCTCCTGAGAGACATATTTAGAGAGCCTTGTTTTTTAATGAATGATTAGTCTCCCATACACATAATCAGAGTTACTCCAACAGTAACATATATGGTGCCAGAAACTTTCTCTCTACCCTAAGAGAGATGCTGAATCTGAAATATAACACAAAGTACTGTAGTGTAAATAACAAAGGTTACTGAAATTGATGCAGTGTAGGAAGATGCAGAAGACAAGTGGCTGAGAAGTTTGTAGTGAGGGACGGGCAACGGTGGAAGCTGGGTAGGTGGTGTATGGGAGAGGGATGGCCAGGAGTAGATCCTGGTGATAGCACTGGGTGTCTAAGGCTTTGCTTGTGAGTAACAATGTGGACTACAGGGATTGTCTACTTGTGGCAGGAGAAGTCCCTGAAGTTAATCAGTGGTGCCCAAGTCTTACCTGGCACTTTAATCTATAGATCGCACCTGAATTTACATGTCCTCATGATCGTGGAGTGTCTGATTTCCCATTATCATCAATAGACATTTGGTCATTCATGGATGGTGGATTTGGAGAATAATTCAGCTGACCCAGAGGAAGATGCCTGTGTTTGTTTGTCTGTCTCTTTTTCCAAACTCCTCTGACTTTAGTGATTACATCTGGAGATGTTCATACCTACTTGACCTGCAGACATCCAAACACAGGTCTCTTACTCTGTGAGCTAAACACCTTCTTAACTTGGAAACTGAGGTAGGAAGTGACTTGACTATCTCTAGCAGAGCCAGCAAAAGAGACACAGTCTTATTCCTGGGAAATTCCGGGGCACGTTCCAGCAGGACTTAGGTCAGAGAAGCTGTGAAGATAAAAAGAACAAAAAGAAGCATCAGAATTTGGGGACATGGGGAATACCAGAGAAACCAAAGAAACAGAATAAATAAGTATTTAGGGGCTTGATCCTTGCTGTTCTGCATTCACCGTTGGTCTGGTAGTAATTTAACCTGTTTGGCTTGGAGAAGGTGGTACTAAGAGAAAACTAGACCACAGTGGAAAGCAGAGGTTTTATTTCTTTTCCTTATGAATGATTTTAGTCATTGTTTAGTATATGAAAATAGTAGATTTATTATCAATAAGGCTATGTTGAATATTTATATACTGCCTCCAGTTAAGTTAACGTCATCCGTATGCCTAGGTGCTCAAAAGTTTGTGAATTCATGTTTCACTTTAAGACTTAAGCTGTTGAAGTCAATCTTGTTTCAGTAAGTTTAGATAGAAGATATAAATATACTGAGTGCTTTCTAATCATGTGTTTAACCCCAAAATCTCAGTAAATGAGCATACATCAAGGTCAATTTGCCTTATGGGGTTAGAAGAAATTCCTCTGGATTCATAGTATTGACCAGCTTGATAACTAAATGACCACAAGTGTGTGATTCCTACCCTGTCTTCTTTAAATTTCTAATCCAGATTTTGTTTCATTAAAATGCTCTTAGGTGCATTGGTATCCTGCTTACTGACTTTGTTTGTTTGTTTGTTTTAATTTTCTGCCATTTCCTAAATCAGTTGTGCCTTATGAGATCACGGTCTACACCAGCGACATCTTTGGAGCTGGAACAGATGCAAATGTCTTCATTGTTCTTTATGGAAGTGATGGAATTTGCACTCAGCAGAAATCCCTGTGCCTCAACAAGAGAGAGCAAAGGATGTATTTTGAAAGAAACTCGGTGAATCAGTTCATTGTGGAGGTAAGATCAAAGGTGCTCACTCTCATCTTAGGTTGCCCTAAAGGAATTAAGAAGAGAAAATGGACTGAAGTGGGAACTTTTCCTCTTTTAGGGAAAGCTATTCAGCTCTTTTACTCAAAGAATATGAGTTCAAAGCCCTATTCTGCAACACACTTGCTGTGTACTGGATCAGATCTTTTCTCACTGACACCCACTTACTAGAAACTCAAAGGTATCAACATGCAGTGTCCCTGTGACCCAATACCATGTTAAGCCTTGTAAGGGCTGGTGCAATTTTATTGTGAAGCTGAGATGCACCAATAAGTGGATAGGGAGGTTTGCCCTTCTAGGTAAAGTTAGATCCACTTTGTGAGGTCTTTACATCTTCCATTTCCTAGACCATACTTGGTAAAGAGAAGGTATCAGTCTCCATGCATGCCAGATCTAATATGTGTACCTCTCCTTTTTAGTCTTATTTGTTTGTGTATTTGCTTTCTCTTGCAGTTTGCAATACTTTGAAAGGTAACAGAAAACAATTGCTTGCAGTATCACTAAAACCAGCTGCCTTGTATTTAGGGTCCCTATGTATCCTTTCATGTTCCTGTTTTAGCAGATTGTGTCGATGGATCTGGTCCATGGTGCTTACTACTTATATAGCACTTCATTTGGGGTGGATGGTCTGTTCATTTATTCTAATTGTATGGCAACCTAAGCACCATGCTCTGTTTCTTTGCATCCTCAGACAAAGAGACTGTTACTTTGCTGCAGACGTTGTGATTTTTGGATACCTGAGGCTAATTTTTTGAAAGATCTTATCAAATATTTCTTGAAATGTTTGCACAACTGTATGCAAATACTAAACCAGTGCATGAAAATGATTTAGCTTATTAACATCTACAGTATTCAGCAATTCCTGTTTGTAGTATGTTGGTATTGGTGAGAATTTGCAAGAGGCAAAAATATAGGCAGTCTTACCCTAGCCTATTCTTTTGGTACTGCTTAATCTCCTCACCCTCCCTCCTAGGATGGAACACCAGCACTGACTTTGTAGAGGACCACACAACCTCTATGCACTTTGAGTTTGGTTTGGTTTTGTAAAATAATTGAAGGCAAATCTTAAACCAAACTTTTTAATGAGTTAAAATGCTTCCAGCTCACATTGTTGTTATATGGCATGAATCATAATATAAATCCCCAGTGTGATTCCTTAAAAACAAAGAATAAGGCTTATTTTGGTGGTGTTTCCACACAGTCTTTCATAATAGAGTTTGCATTAATCTTAATGCATATGGTATAAAAAACTGAGTGTTATTGTTATTTCTTTATTTCATAAAAATTATTTTAGGTTTGGGAGAATCTGAAACATCAGTACTTTTCTTAGATGAAGTGAGTGAAAATGCAGTTTGCTCTCCAGATTTATAACATCATATTAACCTGTCCTCAAAATTCATTCTCTCTTCACCAGTTCCTCTTGCTGTAGGAGATAGGAAGGAAGCAAAATATATTCTTCTTTCACCTACTTGTGTAGAGCCATAATTTGGATTTCAACAGACCTTAAAAACCTTAAAAAAAATTTGGGGCTCTCAGGAAACACGAACTGAGAATTGCCCATTTGTTTTAGTGTTTTTAACTGCCCTACCATTTTGTATTTTGCAAAAGAGACAAAAAGATTAGAGACTGGTGTCAGCTATGGTCCCAAGTGATGAACTGTTGGAGATACATGCAGCAGAATACAGACCACTTCTTCTTTAACATGAATCTTTACTGACCAAGCATCACTTTATTCCTATGTATTGATTAAAAGCCTCATTGAGAGTGGAGCATTTGGACAAGACAAAGGATGAAGAAAATAATCTTCCTCTAGTGTGTACTTGTGTGCATTCATGAGTTTTAGAAATTAGCTTGGATCATTTAATTATGTTGCAATTGATGCTTATGCTCTCTAAAGTCAGGGCAGGGATGGTGAAGTCAAATCCAGTTTGTTCAGAGTGTGACCTCCTTGAGTAGTGCAATCAGTCTTGTTGAGTCCGGGAGTCTCCTAAAATTACTGTTGTCTTTTCTTCAGTGTGGGGAAATTCTGTCAGCTGGGAAGAGAAGTCTCCAGTGGTGCAAATTGAGATGTTTTCTCAAGTTTCTGAGAAAAAAACACTCCAAGTCCCTGTGGACAGAAAGACAGCTCAGTGTGCTTCTCCTACATGCAAAGGAGGTTTGCAGCCAACATTGTTTTTTAGAGGCCCAACTATACAAAAACTTGCACTGAAATAACAAAAAGCTATTACTTAGGAGCAAATATCATTATTCCTGTTGAAGCCTTTGGAAGGAAGGTGGCATAAAAGTAATGAATTAGTAACAAATTACTTAAGTAATAAGGTGAGGCATAAAAAAACGGTAGCCACTTCATAAGATAGTGATCTTGTTGACTTGCTCAGAATGGTATTGGGATTCTGTGGGAGAGCAGGGGAGAGATAATATAAAATGCAAGGCTATTAATATTGTACTTTGACCTCAAAGCTACTCTTTCAGTGTTATGAGAGTGCACGTAAGAGTTTAAAAAGGAAAGAGATATAAAAAGAACAATTTAAGATGTAGCAGCACTGCAATTTCTAAAAAATTACCTTCATTCCCACTCATACAGAGAAACCTGAGATACAGCATTGCTGCTGTGCAACCAAAGCTATCTTCTACAGTGTGTGAGTTGTATAAAGCAAGATTCTCTTTGGTTTTGGAACAGAGGTTTAGGGAAACCCTTTAGTAAAATGCAAGTTAGGGCATAATTGACATCAACACTAATATTTGCTCCCATGGGATTTCACACAGACCAGAAAAATAGGAAATAAGCTAAAGACATAGTGTCTCAAAAGTCACCTGTTGTTCATGCCATAATCTTTCTATCTTTCTCTTTTTTTTTTTTTTGTTTGTTTTGTTGGGTTTTTTTAATGTAGCTGGAGGACGTTGGTGACATTATTGAGAAGATTCGCATAGGACATGAGGGTGGAGGACTGAACTCTGGATGGCATTTGGACCATGTGACGATTCGGAGGCTGTTGCCAAATGGAAAGGTAGGCTGTGAATCTCAGCACTCTGCAATATATTTCCATTAGCAGCCTCTTCCATTTCCCAAAGCACATCTTCTGTATACAAAGCGTGATTAACAGTGAAAAATTACTCCCTAAAGAACAATGCACACTAATGAACTTGCTGGAGCTCGGGGATCTGGGGACAACAAATATGTATTACCATGTTTTATTCTTCAAATGTTGATTATAAAACTCTGAAATCATTGTTTTTTTAAAAAATACTGTTCTTATTATATTTTTTTACTGTAATAGAGTTATTTCCTCCCTGCAGTGAATGGGAGCAAAGCAGTGATCTTGCTCCTCAACCTTTTGGAGACATTCGCTTCTCTTTATCTTTTGTGTGAAAGATCGATCTGCCTGCTGGACTTGGAGGCAATGTTATCATGACTTGCTTGCTGGACTGAGAGATTTCTGAGTTTCTATCCATTGTTGTGCAAATACAGCTTAAGAATTACAGGGCTAAGCAGATGTCTCTGTGCTGCGCTGCACCACTGTCACTGGACATCCCAGGGTGCCCAAGGATAACTTGGATAATGGTGGTTTTGGGTGACATGAGAGGTCAAAGCTTCATATTTTCATGTGTAGCTTTGTTTTGAACTATCACAGGGAAGGAAGTGGGAAGTGGGTGTACCATCTTAAAATAAAAATTACTGTTGCTAAACATGGACAAGAAATAATTTCATCAGTCCCTTGATTCTGGAAGAATAAATGCAGGGAACCAGTACAATTAAGACAAGCAAAATGGTTGTCAGTGAAAGTCCCTGAATCACTCATATAAAAAACATTGAGTTAAATCCTAAGTCTTTTTGTTGCTCATGAACAGGATGAACACAGTGCAGCCAGATTGATCATCTTGGTCTTGTCCACATAAGAAACTGTTCCTTGGCCCTGCTTTCAGACAGTGGCTGTAGGAACAGGAATGAGTCTGGCTGCAGGGAAGTTCAGAAAAAAATCACCTCTTCAGGACCAGTTCAGAATTAGGGCAGTAGCTGTGTTTGGGAACACTGGACTCTCCGCTGTCTTGATCTTTCTCCACTTATTCCAAAGGGATGTCAGCTTTCATCTCCACCTCAATGCTCAGGTCTGCCCCCTCTTGAAGTGACTTCTGAGATCAAGCGTTGGTGTCAACACGGCTTGCTCAGTCCTGGTGAACCTACTTCTCATCTTACTTCCTCCTTCAAAATCGTCAGTATATGTTTTTCTCTCTTTGCCTCACGATCAACTCAGAGGTCTGATTTGAAACTTCCTCATCATGGTCAAGACTGTATTGTCCTGTAGAAGCTTCTTCACAAACCAATACCCTTTGATTGTTTCTCATGATCACCTTTTTGCCAGTCTGTTATTACCAGAACCTCTATCTGTGTATTGACTAACTCTTGCCTTGTGCAGCTTCACGAGGTTAATGAACAAGTTGACATTGTTTTTGGAGATGTTGTTGTTCATAAGCTAGGGAAGATGAAGAGAAGGATGTGCAAAGGTATGGAAACCAAGGGAAAAGAGATTCCTGGGATGCTTTTTTTTCTACACCTGCTGTTAAATGAGTACTTTGAGAAGCTCCGAAGAGGTCCATGTTGGGTGCTCTTCCAATAGCTCAGAAAGTTGCTTGGGGCTGCATGGCTCTATAGTCATTACAGCAGCTTTGAAGGACAGACAGTGAAATCTGGAAGCCCAGTAGAAACCTGGGAAGGTGGAGGAAGGGAGGAAAATTATGAACAACTTAAAAATGGAGAGATTTGCAATTCTGCTGATCTTTTGATTATGGCATGGGAAAAAAGAAGAAAGCAGAGCACTGCATGATGCCGCTGATCAGCCGCAGGATATTATGACCTGCCACAGGATAGCAATATGCTGCCAACGCTTCTAAAAGCTGTGCTACCTGATTAGACTGCTAAGATGTGCCTAGATATATCTGTAATGCTGCAAAAGAAAAATGAGGTCAGTAACTTTTCAGATTAAATTGAAAGCACTTGGATAGGAAACTAGGATTGCTGCATGCCAATAAAGCTCTGTCTTGGCATGCCAATTATATCTGATAATTATATTTCATTTGTTAAAACTTGGAGAAGGGCAAATCACTGACTTCTAGCACACTATCATACCCTGCTTCTAGCTTAGGGCCAGACTCAAACTCTAATGAAACAAATTCTGTTCGGAGATGCCGAAGGATTTTACCATGAGTAACATAAAACAGTGCATTTTACATCACTTAAATATTAATGCAATCACTAACAAGGAAACTCCAACAAAAACTGTGGCAATGACATGGTGATTAACAGTAATGATACAATTAACTCTTGCAGTAACTGCACATTATACCCCACTGTGCAGGCACTCAAGTCCCTCGATATCTTATTACTAAATAAACAGTGTTCATATCAATGGCACGTACAGTCAGCATTATGAATGTTTAGGAGCAGTTAAAAGCTTCATTGAGAATCATGACTGAAGTAGAATCTCTACTGGGAGGAGAGGATTTCAACACTGAAGCATCATTCTGGAAAGCCCTCTCTTCCCAGACTGTGGGTGGGGAGATAATCACTGTTCATCGGCTTAGCGTAGTGAGATAATATAGGTTATGTGATCAGAGAGTAGAAATGAGGAGGCAGACGTAGTGGTGTGGCCAGTCATTAGATGCTGTATTTTGCTTGTACAGCACAAATAACACTTGAAAGTAAAATATTTTAAATCATCTAAAGTGCTGCCAGGTTCGTTTGACGCGATTTTGCACAAATTATGCACCAAACTGCCTTATGGAGTTAAACACTGCAAGGCTGGGGTTAAACAGCACACTGCAGGGAGCAGCAGAGGGAAGGAGAAATGGTGTTTAAAGTTTGGGCTGTGTGGGTTCAAAGGATGATTCTGCTGCAGACTCAAGACACTCAATCACAAAAGCCCCTTGGAGGGGTTCAGATCCTGCAGATGAGCTCGTCTGGGATCTGTGTGCAGTGGTGTGATGACCTGTTCGTAGCAGGTTAGCAGTGACTGGAGTGACCTGACACCAAGGTGCACAACCTATTCCTCCTCAGTGACCGTGACAGGGAGGGCAGGGAGAGCATCTCAAGGTGATCATACAGTGCAGTAATGGAAAATAACTATTTTCAGTATTGCTATGGTGGGAGGTATTTTCTTCTTTTACTATGTATTAATATTTTATTATTCAAATAGTAAAAATAGCAAAGAAAGGACCCTGAATTGGTTTGATAAATAATTATGTGAGAGTAATTAACGTGGACAGTATTAATGTATATGTTATACATGAAAGTGGTGGCATGCAGAGGGCTGGAAACAGCAGAAAGCCCCTGTGCTACTGAGGAGAGAAATGCTGCAATTGCCATTAAGGAAAGGGTCATTTTTTTCTTCCTTTATTTAATTACTGTGAGATTAAAACTAACTTTTTTTTTTTTTTCTGTTCAGACTTGTGGGCTCTGCAAGTTGCATGATGGTTCATGCCCCTTTCTTTATGGAGACATAGCCTGAGGTGCCCAGCACACAGAAAGCCGCCTGCCTCTTACTGTCTTGGAGGCCTTACAGGAGTCTGTTCTTAACAAGTAGTCTGGGATTGATTTTGTTTACCAAGTGGAAAACACATGTTCTATTGTTTTTGTTTGTTTGATGATAGAAATCATATTTGTCTCCACCAAAGTGAAGTCAAAACAAAAGATCAAAAATTAAATAACTATTTTTCTCCTCTTAATGCACGTATGGGAATTGCCTGGAAACCAGCTTGAGTCACAGAATTATAGGGCAAAATCTGAAGTATTGAGTCAGAAAAAAATCCCCTACTGACTTCAAAGAGAATACTGCCTGAATAAGGATTGAAAAGAGATTG